CTTTTCGTGGAAACTCGTCCGAGGGTGGAAAGTCGTATCGTCTTTGGATTTCCAAGTCGTTCGCGCGGCTCCGTTATCGTCGACGAGATATTTAACGATTGGGAAGGTGAAGGCGAAGACGAATTCTTGCTGTTCAGCGGAGGAATTTTGCAACTTACAATCGTAGAGATAAAACGATATTTATTTAACAACGATGTTAGTGAGAAAACACTTAAAACTCTTTTCAACAACTCTCTCGCGACGCTTTCGCACCACCATTCATATTTTTTTTTTTTTCACGCATTCCTACGATCAGCAAACATTGCATCTAGTATAATTAAACGCAACTAAAGACACAGCAATTACATGATACACGCTGTCATCGGTGAGCGATTCAAGACAAGGTTTGGAATCAAATAACCAGAAGATCGAATGTACTGTAAGTACAAGTTTCTAAAGTATTAATATGCATGCCTTTCCAAACATCACTGTTTCTCTCAATTCTCTTGATCCTTCTCCCGAACAAATATACACGAACCTTGAAATTACAACTTACAACACGAAAGCAACGACCAAAGGAAGCTGGTAGCCTAATTCCTGCCATTTTGGAAAGAAACTCGAGCAAAGATCTCCGTGAAAACTGCATCGGTAATCCTTTCGATCCGACGCATCGTAGTAACGATTACGCGCCGCGTTTTCGAGAATAATCGGCAAAAGAGAAGGCATTATTCTTCATTAGTGTTCTTCCCCTCTTTCAATGACTCGTCGCGCCTCTTAGCGTTTCTACCGCGTGATCGTCCGGCCATCCATCTTGCCAAGGATCCCTCCAATCTTTCCCTCCCTCGATATCCTCCTTCCTTCCTCGCGTCTGCCATCCCTTCGCGCTGGAGACTTCTCGCCGCCCCAAACTGAAAGTGGATACAGTGGCTCGCGAAAGTAGCGATTCGAACTCGCGTTACCAGCAACTCTTGCGTTTTCGAAATTTCATTGTAAAGAAGATTTAAATATGTATAATCTCACTGAATACGCGGCGATACGCAGTGAGAAGAGTTGATGTCGGAGCGGAAAAGTAGACGAGTAGAGAGACTTTCTCAGTCACGTGATTGGCGAGGCAAGTCATTTTCGGCCGAAATGTGTCGTTGGGCATAAAGTAAATTTTAGTGCAAAGCAGTGATTATCCAGCCATGCGTCCTTTACATTTACATACGTTTATACGTTTATTGAGCCTGGCTATGACCAAGAGGAACCAACTGTACATCGAGGTGCTTGCTAACTCTTCAACCGCGAGCTATCTATAGACCGCAACGCAGAAAGAATTGGAATTAATAAAATATATTTAAAAGCTTCGATGCTACAAAATACGCTACATTTGTTAGAAAAAGAAAAAAAATCTCTAAGAACCGCGAGAAGCTGGCTGAAGAGAGATTTCAAAATGTTTCTCAATTCATAAAAACTCGTTCCCGGAAACGTATCGCAAGCTACTGTGTGTTGGAACCCTCCCGGGCCGCAAGCGTTCTACCGTTGGCTGCCTTACAGTTACGCAAGAGCGGCGTGTATCTGAGTGCAAGCACCCGTATAATTGTCGGGAGCAGGCTGGTTGGGTGCCGTGGAAAAAGCAACACGAAGAGAGAGAACGGGGGCGAGGGGCGAGGGGGTGGTTGGCGGTCGAGGTTGAAGGGCGAATGGGGGAAAAGGGAAGAGGGTGGAAACGGCTGACGAGCGGCCCTCGCCCTCGCAGTATCGAACGCGGGTGAGGGCCGCCTTGAATTAACGCCATCATATTTCAGGATGGAGGATCTCGCCGGGGTTTTCTTGCCATTTGTCTTGGGGACTCGGGCCGTCTACCGAGTGGAACTTCGCCTTCGTCTGGCTACCATGAGTAATACCTGGCTCGGCTAGAGACTCGCTCCGCGCGAAATCTGACGGAAAAAACAGAGACGCCAAACCTCTTTCTTCCGCTTCTTAATGGAAACCGCGCCGGAAGTATAACGGCGGGCCGCGTTCGTTAACGAATGAAAGTAGAAGGTGTCCCATTTGAAATGAACGCAATTATCTCCTAAACTGCTCGTTGGAGGAGAAACGTAAATTTCCGTAAATTTCTCAAAGTTTCTTGAATAACCTTGAAATAACCGATGAATTCGTTGTTGAACAAAGATCGGAAGCACGTTCAGCTATAGATAGATTTATGACCATTAACAAATGGCCCCTTCGAAACCAAATAAGTTTTTGTTTGAAGCATTTTTTCTCTGCAACGAATAGAACAACCTGAATATACAAATATACATTTAAGAAAAAAAGAAGGAAGATATCGCGTGGGTTTTTGTGGGCGTGGGCGTACAAAGTTGAAGCGCAGCAGCAGGATGATTTAGATTAATCTGAACGAGCGAGAAGTGACGTTGGAGGTTGATCGAGGAGAGGGACTGCGAATAGGCGCGGTTTAGATAGCGGGAATTTTTTTTCGGACAAGCGTTTGTAATTGCTCTCTCAACGAGACGTAATTGTTTCGCCGAGATAAGATAAGATAATTCCTGTTAATTGTTGGTATTTATAAGTGTTTTCCACGTACGACGTTTGATTGCACGTTCACGATCGTTCACAGCCCGAGAGAGAGAGAGAGAGAGAGAGAGATACCATTTCGTATCGGTTTGCATCCTCCTTGCAAACAAAAATTCGAAATTTCCGTTGGCGACGCGAGATCAGACAGAGAGGAGGTCTCGTTGCGTTGTTTACCTTGGTATTTTTTGTTAGCTTCAGCGGGCAATCACGCGTACGACTGAAAAATCGTGTCTATCGTTCTGTTCGCAGGTATGGTTCAAAAACAGGCGGGCAAAGTGGCGGAAGCAGACGCGCAACGCGAACACGGCGGCCGACGCGGTGGACTTCAAGCCCGGGTTCGGCGCCAGCCTGAACAGTTTCATCGGTCAGCCGTTTGCCGACCCGGACGCGCTCTATAGCTCGTACAGCACGTACAACAACTGGGCGGCCAAGGTGCCGTCGCCTCTGAGCAGCAAGAGCTTCCCGTGGGTGAACACGTTGGGCTCGGTGGTGCCGACCGCGTCCCACCATCATCATCACACCCAAGTCAGTCCGGTGAACTGTTTCAACGCGGCGGCGACGTCCGTGGCGGGCAACCACATGGGCGGGATGTCGGTATCGGTGGGCCAGGCGGCTACGTCCATGTTACCAGGAATGGGATCGGGTCTGGGAGTAGCCGGTTCACCGGTGGCGGCAACCGGAGCCGCGTGCCCGTACGCGGCACCGGCGGCACCTCATCACCCGTACGGGCCACCAGTGTACACGCCGCACCATCGAACAGCCGCGGCCCCGGAGAGCTGTACCGTGATGACGTCGAGCAGCATCGCCTCGTTACGACTGAAGGCAAGGCAGCACAGCAGCGGGTACAGCAGCCTGAGTGGCAACTCGTTCAGCATGGACAGCACGCCGGTCTCCGCGGCTGGGAGTCCAGTCGGTTCGCGAGCTCCTTCCGTCGGTGGCGGTGGCGGCGGCGGCGGCGGTGGTGGGCCGTTGAGCGCGTGCCAGTACGCTCTGACCACCGCCGGCGAGGCGAATCCTCACTCGCCGAGCAGCGCGGAGGCTCACGTGAACGCGACGGCCAGGGCTCAAGTCTGAGGTGAAGCGGGGGCTACATCTAGCCCCCATCACCACGCTGTGACCGCGAATTCGAGAAGCTCCCTGGCCGGTTCCGGGAGCTCTTTGGGAGGTAGCAGCCAAGTGGTACCGGTGGGAGCTGCAGCCAACGTGTCCGCCGGTCAGCAAAGCGACAATCAACTGCGAGCGCAAGAGTGACCCAGGCCTAGGTCCGCCGCCTCGCCGACCTTGTCGTCGACCCCTTCGTCCACCACCTCTCATCCCCCTTACCTGATGTACGACGAAGACGGGACCACGGCGGACCAGAAGATCGAGGACGACAGAAGCGTGATCGAGGCGTCGGGTGGGATCAGCGGCGAGCGAGTGATCGCCACCGCCGGAGGTATCGGCGTCGGCGTTGGCATCGGGATCGGTGGCTCTGGCGCCGGTCCCGCCGGTGGCGCAGGATTAGCCAGCTACTGGCAACACGCTGCTACCACCGCCACTGGCTACTGGCCGTCGTTGCTCGACTGTTGGACCACGCCGTCCATCGCTTCCACCTCGCAGACGCTCTCTCTGCCGCGAGACGAGAACTGAGAACAGCGCGCGCTGCCGCCATGCCGGCCATGTCCTCGCTGAGCGATTTACAAATATCAGTATCTCGGATCAGCTAAATATTTTTTTCCTTTATTACCATCATATTCCTCGTTTGTACTGTTCATCAGTCTTCAGAAGGCTAAGACGAGGAGAAGCTACGAGATGCCTGGACACTTTCGTCCTCTCCTCCTTCTTCTCGTCTCTGTTCTCCTCTTCCTTGTGGAAGGATCGAACTTTGCGAGGACTCGCGGCCATTTAGTAAGATGCGGATGTTTATACGCGAATTCATATTTTCGTGAATTTCGTGAACAACGGTGGCGAATCGTCTGTTTGAACATGTATTCTACCATACACGACAGATTCACCACAAACGCGTGAAAATTCGCAGTCTAATGATTGTCACGTATGCTGTTCTTCGTCGAGTTCGACGGGATTTCAACGACGAATTTCTTCGCTGTTGCGAGCGGAAGGCAGGGGGCTGTACATAGAATTGTAAATGCACGGACGATCGGACGATTATACTGGTATATGACACATATATATATATAAATATATTTAATGTTTCGAGGTGCATGCTTCGTCCGTAAACTGAACGGAATACGCGCAGAGGGCGTAGGATGAATTTTAAGTTTTCCCAAAGATCGATTGAGCTTAACGAATTTTTTTTTCTTTTTTTTTTTTTTTTTTTTACTTTCCTCGCGCATTCGATGAAAGTGCGACGTGTCTCCAAGCAAATACTCGAATAGCCGAAGTGCAATATTTTCTTGACTTTGACGGTCCGTTCTTCTCGGAAAGAAAAGGAAGAAAGAAACGAAGGAAAGAAACAGACGGAAAGAAAAGTCGCTGAAAGTGTGATCTACGGAGCAACGAGCTTTATATTCCCCAGGAGGATTTTTATTTTATTTCCACTTGCGATTAGTTACTGTGTGCTCGCGCGTCACGGAATATCGTGCGTTTCGAAACAGAGTTTGTTCAAGGGCAACGCTCGTTGCGTTACAGTCTTTCAAGACTCTCCAAACGACGACGAAGACGAGCGAATGCCAATGGCATGGATTAGAGGAACAATAGGAAGAGAAAGAAATGGAACTGAGCGGTGGGAAAGGGGGGTGGGGAGGGGGGGATTGAATATAGATCCGGCGCGGATCGAGATGTACTCACTATTCTGTAGATATATGTATAGTAGACGCTGATTTCACGCGGTTCGTAAATATCTTTCAGAATTGTTATATTGTAATTGATGATAATGATAACGCTATCCAGCAGAAATACCAAAAATTAACGAGAGAGACAAAGCGAAAGGAAATGAGAGAGAGAGAGAGGGAGAGAGAGAGAACCATACGCAGGCTGTAAGTAAACGAAATGGGCCACCGTGGCTGTTTGCCAGCGGTGCTTTTGTACAGTGTACGAGGAAAGAAATCACTTTATCGACTATGCGTACGTTATAAATATTATTAATATTATTGAGTAATTACTAAAAAAAAAAAAAAAAAA